ATGGCCGTTTTTGTTTTGATCGTTGGAAATGAATTCTTGTCCCATGATAAAAAAAACGTGAATTTTCCCTGATAATTAGGCACCAACACCACCAATTATCGAACGACTAAATGCAATAATTATAGGCTACTAATTAAGGCGAATAATTAGTACATTTGTACTAGGTCATTTACTTTAATTTTAACAGCTCATAATTGTTGAATCATAGAGCGCTGCCAATTACCCTTAATTAGGGGGCATAATTACCACAAATCTGTCGAAATATTACAATCTTGAAGCGAAGTGAACGTTTTTAGGGAGAACGTAGTATAATCCCCTCCCCCTTCCCCTCTCAGTATACGATGATCCTAATTTAGAAAGGGATATTGAATGTTTTCTACCTAAGGTGGGAAGATTGAATTTGTAAAACTATCCTAAGCACATCGTACCCCCTCCCCAGATTGTGTTGAGGGAGAAGAAGTACCAAGAACCTAGATAAGGGATCTTGAATCCTCCCTTTCTGGGGAGTATTTTACGTAGATGGGAAGATTCGTTGCTTAAATCTCTATAACTATCAGTTTGTATTCTGGGGGGGGGGGGGGGGTTGTATTCCAGGCCCCTGGATTATACGTTTTGCAAAACACGTTTTTGGCATTTTTGAAATTTTGGGAATTTGAATTTTTGAATCTTTTTAATATTTAGAATGTTGATTTTAGAATTCTCGAATGAATCATGAATATTTGGAATTTTTAAACTGTTGGAAATTTTAGACTTTAGGATTTTTGAAATTTTGACAACTTGAGATTTTGGGATTTTTCAAAATTTTACATTATCGGATTTAGAATTAAATTTGTGAATGTTTGAAAATTAAGGCGTTGATAATTTTGGGATACTGAGGTCATGGGATGTTTGAAATTTTGAGTATTTGAGATTTTGGAATTTTTGAATTCTTAAAATTTTGGGAATTTTTAGGACCATTGAAATTTCCGGAATTTGAAATTTTTGGATATTTTGAATTTTTAGAATGTAGGAATTTTCGATAGCGCAGTATGAAGGTCTCAGTTTTGAGGAAGAATTTAAATATTCCGTTCCTAGGGATAATCTACAGAGATAAGAGATCTATAATTCAGTCCAACTATAGTAAAAACATTGTTCATGTGGGGGAGGGGGGGGGTATGGAATACTCCCCAGACCCTCGGTGCAAAAAAACACGTTTAGTACATGCTAATTTTCGAAAGCCTACTTATTAAGGTATTACCCTCAGTAATCCATACCGCCCCCCCCCCCCCCCGTGCTGTTGGTAGTTTTAAATATTAGGGAATTTGTACTTTTGGAATGTAGATGAGATTTTGAAATTTTTGAATCGCTTATATTTGTAATTTTTAAAACGTTGAGAATCTTAGAGATGGGATTTTTGAAAATTTGAGATTATTGGATTTTCCATGCAAGGGAATTTCATTTTTTGAGCTTATGAGATCTTGGTAATTTAAGATCTTTGAAATTTAGTGGTTTAAGAATTATATTTTTGGAATTTGAATTTTTGTTAAACCATAGGACCTTTGAAATTTCCGTAATTTGAGATTTTTGAATAATTTTCATATTTGGAATTTTTAAAATGTTGGAAATGTTAGATAGGATTTTTGACATTTTAGAATTCTCGAAAGTTTGACAATTTAAAACGAAATTTTGAGAATTTGAGATTTATGAATCTTTAATATTCGGAATTTTTGAACTGTTGGGAATTTTAGACGATAGGATTTTTGAAATTTTTGACAATTTGAGATTTTGTAATTTTTTTAAATTTTAGATTGTGGGTTTTTCGATGTATTGGGAATTCTACATAATTCTCGCATGTTTGAAAATTTTAGAATTTAAAATTTAAAATTTCGGGAATTACATTAAGAATTTTTGAATATTAGGACATTGATAATTTTAAGATATTGAGGTCATGGGATCTTTGAAATTTTGCGTATATGAGATTTTAGGAATTCGAGATTTGGGATTTTTGAAATGTTGGGAATCTTAAAGATGTTGGAATTTTTGAAAATTTGAGATTAGGTATTGGGTTTTCCATATAAGGGAATTGAATTTTTTGAGCTTGGGAATTTAGGATCTTTAAAATTTAGTGGTTTAAGAATTATATTTTTGAAATTTTGGGAATTTAAGATTTTTGAATCTTTTTCATATTTGGAATTTTTAGAATGTTGGAAATAGAATTTTTGAGATTTTAGAAACATTGACAACTTAAAACTTGAAAAATTTTGAGATTTTTTAATCTTTAATATTCCGAATTTTTAAACTGTTGCGATAGGATTTTTGAAATTTTTGACAGTTTGAAATTTTGAGATTTTTTAAAATTTTAGATTATGGGTTTTTCGATGTATTGGGAATTCTACAGAATTCTAGCATTTTTGAAAGTTTAAGATTTTAAAATTTAAAATTTCGGGAATTACAAGAATTTTTGAATATTCGGGCATTGATAATTTTAGGATATTGAGGTCATGGAATCTTTGAAATTTTGCGTATAAGTATGAGATTTTAGGAATTTGAGATTTGGGATTTTTGAAATTTCGGGAATTAGGTTTTGGGTTGTTTAAATAGTAAGGGAACTTGTACTTTTGGAAGGTAGATGAGATGTTGAAATTTTAAGGATTTAAGATTTTTAAATCTTTTATCTTTGGAATTATTAAAATGTTGGGAATCTTAGAGATGGGATTTTTCAAAATTTAGGATTATTGGATTTTCTATGTAAGAGATTTTTTGAGCTTATGAGATCTTGGGTATTTAGGATCTTTGAAATTTAGTGGTTTAAGAATTATATTTTTGGAATTTGGCATTTTTGAAATGTTGGGAATTTGAATTTTTGTTAAACCATAGGACCTTTGAAATTTCGGTAGTTTAAGATTTTTGACTCTTTTTCATCAAAATGTTGGAAATGTTAGGTCTAGGACTTTTGAGATTTTAGAATTTTCGAAACTTTGACAATTTGAGGCTTGAAATTTTGAGAATTTAAGATGTTTGAATCTTTAATATTTGGAATTTTTAAACTGTTGGGAATTTTAGAGCTTAAGATTTTTGAAATTTTGACAATTGGGAGATTTTGGAATTTTTCAAAATTTTAGATTATGGGATTTTCGATGTATTGGGAATTCTGTATAAGTAATTCTAGCATTTTTCAAAATTTTAGATTTTAAAATCTTATGAATTTGAAATTTCGGGAATTAGATTTAAGAATTTTTGAAAATTTTCGGATATTAATTAAGGTCATGGGATCTGAAGTTTTGGGCATGTGAGATTTGGGAATTTCGGAAATTAGGTCTTGTTGTTTAAATAGTAAGGGAAAATTTGATTTTGTGTGGTTTGTTTATTTTCTAAAATTTTGAGTATTTGAGATTTCGGTATTTTTGTGCATGAGATTTTGGAATTTTTGGGTTCTTGAAATTTTGGGAATTTTGAACTATGGGACCATTGAAATTTCTGAAGTTTGAAATTTTTGAATATTTTGAGTTTTTCGCATGCGCACCTATTAAGGTATTAGTCTCAGTTTTGAGAGACAACATCGTTCACTGGGGGGTATTCCCCCCACCTTTCCTCCCTCCGGTGCTAAATTTTCCAAAACACGTTTGCACCTGTTAGTACCTTCGACATATAAAAATGGACTGCGCGTATCAATGATAAGCGCATAAGAGAGAGAAGCAAAAACTAAGAGTTCAAGCTATCTCTTACGGTTATACATCTGATTGGTTCTTTCAATTTAATTTCAATGCGATCGCGATAGCTTCGGTTGAAAGAACCAATCCGATGAGTAACAGTAAGAAACAGCTTGCCCTTGAGGGAGAACGTAATATCGGGGAGTCTATTTATAGGGACAGGAATTTTAAATCTTCCTTTCCTGATAGGAAAATTGAATGTTTGTATGTATCATAAGAACATTGTTCCCCACCCCCCCCCCCCCTCCGGTGCTACGTTTTCCAAACCACGATAGTGTTAAAGAGCGTACCTGGTATTACCCTCACACACGGAAGCTGAACAGAGGAAGTGAACGTTTTAAGGGAGAACGCGTACACGAGAGGTGGAATTCTATTAGCAATAATTATGCTTAATTAAGCTTAATTATAGCAAAATTTAATATTAAACCAGACAAGGTATAATTGCTCATTCATTGGTCGCTTCTAATTACTCTTAATTTTACACAGTGCACAGTGTTTGAATGGTCGCGCACTAAAAAAAACGTGTCCATATTAAATTTGAGCAATAACTACTAATTACACTTAATTACATCAAACAAATTATTGGAAATTTGTCGAATTGATTGTTTCTTATGGACACGTAAAAGTTTAATTTTAATAATTCATTAATTAAATTAGTTCGAATAATTAAATAGTACTAATAAAACGACCTTGCACTAAATGCAAAAATTGCTACTAATTACACTTAATTACGGTGAATAATTAGCAGAAATCTGTCTAATGACACGCAATTTTACATACTTAGTGCATAATTGTGGAATCATAGAGCAATAAATAATTCTGAATACATTAAATTTTAGCAATAATTACGCTTAATTATAGCAAAATTTAGTTTTAAACAAGGCAAATTTGCTGAATTGAGCACGGTTAATTACACTTAATTTTACACAGTACATAATTGTTGAATCATCGAGCAGTAAAACAATAATTATGCGTTGCTAATTGCACTTAATTACGGCAAAAGTGAATTTGCTGATTTATAGAGCTCTTCTAATTTAATTAATTAATTAATTAATTACACATCATTACAGCAAAAAATTTAATTATTGGTGTCTTATGATAGTCATTTTTATGCTAATTATGCGCCACTAATTAATAATTAGCGCAAATCTGTTGAATTATTGGTGTTTGTGGAATAATTTATTTTCTTTGTGGACACAAAATTTAATTTGGCCCTTGTTTCTTGCGGTGATTGGATCCAAATTTTGCACCAAGTGATGCGTGTATGCGCCATTTTGTGTACGATGATACTGAGGTTCTGTTCAATTTCAGTTGACCGAACTTACCGCAGACCTCGCGGAGGAGCACTCGACGTCGACGCTAGCGACCGAACGTCTCGACGCCGAAACCTCGGAGCGGATGAGAATCGAGCGCGAACTGATCGAGGTGCAGACGAAAAACAAGCTACTCCAAGACACCTCGGAGCAGTTGGAATTGGAGCTGCTGTACGCGAAATCGGATCTAAACGGTATATCGGAAGAGGACGAGGAGGGCGACGGTGACGGCGGAGTGTACAAGCAGCGATACGAGAGAGTGCGCAAGGAGCTGGAGTTTACCAAGAAGCGATTGCAACAGCAGCACGAGGACGATTTAGAGCAGCTCGTCGCCTTGAAAAAACAACTGGAGAAAAAAGTAAGTCATTATTTGCCTAGTGATAAGAGATTACGTGGAGCGTGCTAACAATGTGTGATCAACAGCTGACGGACGCGTACGAGGAGGTAGAAGAGCAAAGGCAAGTGGTAGGGCAATGGAAACGAAAGGTGCAAAAGGTAAATGGGGAGACGAACGACCTGCGACTGCTTTTGGAGGAGCAGAGTGCGCGAAACAACATGCTCGAGAAGAAACAGAGGAAATTCGACTCGGAAACGCAGTCGCTGCAAGACGAGCTGCGCCAAGAACGTACGGCCAAGGACCGTCTCGCGCGAGAAAAGGAGACGACTATTGCGGAAAAGTTCACTTTGGAGGCCAACTTGGCGGTGAGTATCTGCTGGGAGTCGCACCAGTGGACACTTTTCCGATTTCAGGATGTAAGACTCGAACTGGACCTGAAGGAGGACAAACTGCAAGCCTTAAAGCGGGAGTTGGACGAGCTCACTTACGGAGGCAAGACCGAGGAGGAGGTCACTATTTTGCGCAAGCAAAAGATCGACTGCGAGCGACGCCTGCACGACCAAGAGGAGGAACTGGACGAGCTCGCCGGTCAGGTGCAGCTTCTGGAGCAGGCCAAGCTGCGGCTGGAGATGACGCTCGAGTCGCAGAGGAAGGAGGGCAAACGGGAAGCCCAGCAGCGCGACGACGAGCTGGAGGAGGTGAGGTGTAACGCTCAAAAGAAAGTAAAAGGTACTCTACACGTTTGGGTGTTGCCGCAATGAATTCACTGTTGGTTTTTCAGCTCTGGAGGCTCAGCTGGAAAACGAACACGAGGAGCGCACGATTTTGTTACGCGAAAAGCACGAGCTGGAAAGGCGATTGACTGCTCTGGCCGAAGCCGATCGCAACGATCGTGCCGGTGACGAAGCGCTGCTGAACAAATTGAAACGTGACCTGAAGAGGACGAAAGTGCTACTACGCGACACTCAATCTCAACTTGAACGATTAAAATCCGACGGACCTGGTGCGTATTTTTTATTATTCCGGCGCATTTGCTGTACCAAAAGGCATCCTGTTCACTGATGGAGTTTGCGAATTTGAGATTTTAGGCTTTTTGAAATTTTGGGAATTTTAGATATTGGGATTTTGGGAATTATTCAAGTTTTTGGTTTTTGAAGTTTCGGGATTTTTGAAAATGTAGACCTTTGGGAATTGAAATGTTGGAGTCCTTGAAATTTTGGTATTTTGAGATTTTTGGCCATTTTGGTATTTGTGAAATTTTGGGAATTTAAAGTATCGCGATTTTTTGAAAATTTTGGTTTTAAACTTATGTAATTTTGAGTTTTGGGATTTTGATATTCTGGGAATTTTGGAAGTGAAATTAGATTTTGGAACATACGAATTTTTGAAAATCAGGGAAATTGAAATTTTCGAGTTACCGATGGCCGATTTCGTTATTCCCTGGATGTTGCCCCTCCAATGATGTGTTGCGCCACCCAGACCTTGGTCTCACCTGACGCATGCTATTATTGTCACATCTCTTGATTAAAAAGTAAAAATGCAGAATGTCTAGGCGCGATGTCGCTCTCCCTTTTTTGAAATTTAGGGAATGAGATCTTGGGATTTTTGAAAATTTGAGAATTTACGATCTTTAAGTTTTTTGGGAATTTGAGACCTATGGATTTTTTAAATTGGAAATTTGGATTTTTGTTTAATTTTAAGAATTTTGGAATTTTTAAAATTTTTTTTTTGAAATTTTAGGCTAGGGTTTCTGAAATTTGGAGGTTTCGGATGTTTGAAATTTTGAGCTTTTTGGTATCCTGATATGTATTTGTGATTTTTGAAAATCGGGAATTAGATTTTGTGTTTTTTAAACATTCGGATTTTTGCCGATTGAATTTAAAATGGGTTATGAGATAGGATTTTTCAAATTTTAGGAATTTTTTTTAGAAATTTAATATTTTGAGATTTTTAAAATGGCCATTTTGGTAAAGTGAAATTTAGGATTTTGGGATTTTTGGGTATTGGAGATTTTAGGGTATTTGAGATTTTGGGAATTTGGGATCTTTGAAATTTAGAAGTGTCGGAATTATATTTTTTAAATTCGAAGTTTTGGGATTTTTGAAATTTTAGCAATTTGAGATTTTGCGATAAATGAACATTTGGGATTTTGGGAATTTATGATCTTCGAAATTAAGTTTTCATAATTACATACAAGTATTATTTTGGAATTTGAATTTTAAACTGGAGAGCTTTTAAAATTTCGGGGCTTTATGATCGTTTAATTTTTTTGCAATTTAGAAATTTATAGACTTTAGAATTTTTGAGATTTTGACAAATTAAGATTCATGAAAATTTGAGATTTGCCATATATCGGGAGTCTTGATTTTTTTGAAACTTAGATTTAAGGATGTTTGAAAATTAGGGAATTGATAAAAATGAGATCTTGTAATTTTTTAAATTTCGGGTAATTGAGATTTTTGAGTTTGAGATTTTGGGAATTTAGGCTCTTTGAAATTAGAGGCGTTGGAATTATATTTTCCAAAATTTGAGAGTTTAAGCTTTTGGAATTTTCGAAATTTTGAAATTGTGTCAATTTTAATAAAACCTTGTGAGGAAATTTCGGGATTTTTAGATTTTTCCCTATTGGGAATTTTTAAAATGGAAATTTTAGACTAGGATTTTTAAGATTTTACATTTCTTTTAATGTTGACAATTGATTTTCGATATATTGGGAATATGGAGATTTTTTAGATTTTGAATTTGCTATTTTTGAAATTTCGAGATTTTGGTATTTTTTAAAATCGAGGAATTTGAAATTTTGGGATTTTGAGATCATGAGATTTTTGGAATTTTTTCGGTTTTGGGATTGTTTAAAGTAAGAGAATTTGAAATTTGGGGCATATGAGATCTTGTGGATTTTGAAATGTTGGGAATTTAGGATCCTTGAAATGTAGAGGTTCCAGAATTATTTTTCGAATTTCATATTTTGGGATTTTTGAAATTTTGGGAATTTCAATTTTTGTGAATGTCGGAAATTGAGATTTTGAATCTTTTTAAGATTTTTTGGCTTTGTTTAGTAATTGGAATTTGAAATTTTGGGTTACGAGGTCTTGCGAATTTTGAAGTTTTGGGTATTTGAGATTTTGGGATTGTTTAAGTATTGAGAATTTGATTTTTTGTGAGTTTTAAACTTTAGGACCTTTGAAATTTTAGACTGTTCGAAATTTTTTAGATTTTAGAATGCTCGAAATTTTGACAATTTGAGACATTTATAAAGTTTGTAAATTTGACATTTTCGATATATTTTGGGATTTTTGAAATTTCGGAAATTTGATATTTTGAATCTTTTTAATGTTTGGAATGTTTATGTTGGAAATTTTAGTCTTAAGATTTTTGGGATTTTAGAATTCTCAAAATGTTGACATTATAGGATTTTGGATGTGTATTTTGGAAATTCTAGATTATTCTAGCATTTTTAAAAGTTTTTGATTTTGAAATTTAGTGAATTTGGGAGTTTTGAAATGTTTGGGTATAAGATTTTTGAAAGTTGCGGAATTGCAAATTTTGGGATATTGAGATTATGGGATTTCTGAAATTTTGGGTCTATGAGAATTTAGGAATTTTTGAAATTTCGGGAACTAGGTTTTGGGCTTTGTTTAGTAAGGGAATTTGAAATTTTGGGTTACGAGGTCTTGCGAATTTTGAAGTTTCGGGTATTTGAGATTTTGGGATTTTTTAAGTATTGGGAATTTGATTTTTTGTGAGTTTTAAACTTTAGGACCTTTGAAATTTTAGAATGTTCGAAATTTTTTAGATTTTAGAATGCTCGAAATTTCGACAATTTGAGATATTTAGAAAGTTTGCAAATTTGAGATTTTAAATATATGCGGAAGGGTTGGTATTTGAAATGTGAATATGAGATGTTTGAAATGACTGGAATTAGATTTAGGGATTCTTAAAATATTTGAGTATGGAATTCGAGTTTAGGAATCTGAGATTAGAAATGTTGAGAATTAGATTTCCGGATTGTTTAAAGTAGGGGAATTTGAAACGTTTGGCGTACGAGATCATGTGATTTTTGAAATTTTGGGAATTTTAGGATCTCGGAAATTGAAGGTTTTACATTTATATGTTCGAAATTTTGACAATTTGAGTTATTAAGATTTTTGAAATTGCGGGAATTTGAATTTTAAACTTTGGGACTTGAAATTTCTGGAATTTGAGGTTTTTGAACATTTTAGCTTTTGAAATTGTGTGAATTTGGTATATTTAAAATTTCAGGAGTTAGATTTTGCTATTTTTGAAAATTAGGGAATTTAAAATTCGTGGAATTTGAGATCATGGGATTATTGAACATTTGAGGTTATAGGGTTTTTGATATATTGCGAATTTTGGGATATTTGAAATTTTAGATTTTGAAATTTTGTGGAATTGATATATTCGAAATTTCAAGAGTTAGATCTGGGTATTTTTGGAAATTAGGGAATTTTGAGAGCATGGGATTTTTGAAATTTTAGTTACTAGATTTTGGAAATTTAAAATTTGGGATTTTTGAAATTTCAGGAATTAGGTTCTGGAATTTTTTAAAATAAGGAAATCAGAATTTGTGCCTATGAGATCTTGGGTATTTGAGAATTTGAGATTCTGGGATTTTTTAATTCATAGCGGTCGCAGGAAAGGAGATACGAAATAGCTTAGGACCCTCGCGCCTCTTAGAGGTTATCCATTATGTTGTTGATTATCGGCACAGGATAGGAATCTTCAATTTTATTATTATTATCGTGCTTGTTTCCAGGCAAAGCGCTGGTACGCCAACTCCGAAACCAAATCGAAGACTTGGAATGTGCCCGTTCCATTGCGCTCAAATCGAAGCAGAGCCTCGAGACGGACCTCGCCGAAACGCAAACGATGCTCGAGGACGCGAACCGACTGAAAAGCGAAGCCGAAGAGAAATCGAACAGCGTGCTCCGCGAACGTTCCGACCTTCAAGCGCAACTGGAAGAGAACGAGGAGGAGCTCGCCGAGGTCATGAAGAAATACAAGGCGGCCGTCCAGCAGATGTCTTTAGATCAAATGACGCTGCAAGAACAGGTGTCTCTCGTTTCCGAACTGGAGTCCGAACGCAATCACCTGCGCGATCAGCTGTCGGAGTTGGCCTCGAAGCTCGAGTCGGTCGAAACGATGGGCGAGGCGTCGTCGAACTTACACGTGAAAAGGTCAGAGCTTGAGGGATTTAATAATAATAATAATTTTCATAAAATTTTAATTGTTTTTGTCATATGTTGTTGTTTGAATGCATGTGTTTTTAATTTTTTTAGTTTTCTTTTATTTTTCGTTTTCCAAATTTCTCGAATTTTTTTGATGTTTTGAAATTTTCAAATTTATCGACTTAATTTTTGCCATCTACAAATTTTCATTTTTTTTAAATTTTAAATTCTTTTTTCTTCTAAATTTTTACTGATTTTTTTGCGAATTTTTAAATTTTTCAGATTTTTATTTTTCAAAATTCATTCATTATTCATTTTTTTAATTTTCCGATTTCTTGCTCTAATTGTTTCTGGTTTTTTAATTTACTGTTTTTAATTTAATTTTTTGCAGGTTTTTAAATTTAGATTCATTCATTTTTTTAATTTTTAATTTTCCAAATACTTGTTTTGTAATTTTTATTCCATTTCTTCAAATTTTTGGAATGTTTTGACTTTTTTATTTTTTATCACATTATTCCAAGTGCGGTTGTTCTACTTTTTTTGAATTTTTTACGCTAATTCAAATCTATATATTGGGATTGGGATTTTTTGAATTTGAAATTTTGTGAATTTAATATTTTTGAAATTTCGGGAGTTATATTTAGGGTTTTTCAAATTAGGGATTTTAAGATATTTAGATTTTGAGATCGTGGGATTTTTTTAAATTTCAGGAATTAGATTTTGGGGTGTTTGGGAATTTGAAATTTAGGATTTTTGAAATTCTGATTGGGATTTTTTAATTTACTATTTTTAATTTTTAATTTATTGGAGTTTTGATCGTTAATTTTTGATCTTTTTCAGAATGGAATTGAAAACAAAAGAGCTCGAGTCGAAATTGGAACTGGAGCAGACGACCAGATCAAGATTGGAGGTGCAAATCAATCGTCTCAAAGAAGCGGTCGACAAATTACAAACGGAAATCGCCAACTCGCGAACGAAAGAGCAACTCGGACAGGAGCAGATTCGCAAGTTGCAGAAAAACCTGAGGGAGCTCAAGGAGGAGTGCAACCAAAGCGCGTCGAAGGAAGCCGACTTTCTGCAAAAACGCAAGGATTTGGAGAAACGTTGCGAACTGGCCGAAACGGAAACGGCGGCGGCGAAGGCAGATCTGAGGCTGGCGCTGAAGCGTATCGAAGACCTTCAGTCCGCCATACAGGGTGAACTGGAAGATTCGCCCTCTGAACAAACCGACAGGTAAAGAATGGATGAGTTGAGTATTCCATGCTGAAGTTAAAAATTTGCAGTGAGCAGGACAGTTATACGTCCGATGAGTCCGTTAGCACGTTTTTATCCAATAGTAAATTACATCATGCTGTGAAGTCGGATAGAAATTCCATACAAATAGACTCTAGAAGGTCAGTATATATATTTTTTCAAAATTTTCTGTATAAATATTTGACATTTGGAAATACTGGTTTTTGAAGTAAAAATTAATAACTTTTGACGTGCAGAGGCGATTCGTTTAGATTTTGACCTTGAGAATCCAAATCACTCAGACAATTGAAAATGGCGAAATTTCAGAAGTGATTTTGGGAATTTGAGATTTGGGATTTTTGAAATTTCATTAGTTTCTGGATTTTTTTAAAATTAGGAATTTTGGGTACATGAGATTTTGGGATTTTTACATTTTGGTAGGGGTTTTGGGATTTGGGTAAAAATTAGTAACTTTTGACGTGCAGAGGCGATACTTTTAGATTTTGACCGTGAGAATCGGAATCACCCAGAAAATTGAAAATTTCAGAAGTTAGACTTGGGTATTTTTGGAAATTAGGGAATTTAAAATTTTGGGATTTTCGAAATTTTAGTTCCCTGATTTTGGGAATTTGGGATTTGTGAAATTTCAGGAATTAGGTACAGGATTTTGTTAAAGTAAGGAATTTAGGAATTTTGGACCTATGAGATCTTGGGATTTCTGAAGTTTTGGGTATGAGATTTTGGGATTATTTACGTTTTGGTTGAGATTTTGGGATTTGGGTAAAAATTAATAACTTTTGACGTGTAGAGGCGATTCTTTTAGATTTAGACCTTGAGAATGTAAATCACCCAGAAAATTGAAAATCGCGTAATTTCAGAAGTTAATGGAAATTAGGAAATTTAAAATTTTGGGATTTTGGAAATTTCAGTTATGTGATTTTGGGAATTTGAGATTTGTGATTTTTGAAATTTCAGGAATTAGGTTCTGGATTTTTAAAATAAGGAATTTAGGAATTTTGCACCTATGCGATCTTGGTATTTTTGAAGTTTTGGGTATATGAGATTTTGGGATTTTTTCATTTTGGTTGAGATTTTGGTATTTGGGTAAAAATTAGTAACTGTTGACGTGCAGAGCCGTTTCTTTTAGATTTTGACCTTGAGAATCCAAATCACCCAGAAAATTGAAAATCGCGAAATTTCAGAAAGTTAGGTTTGGGTATTTTTGAAAATTAGGGATTTTAAAATTTTGGGATTTTCGAAATTTTAGTTACGTGATTTTGGGAATTCGAGATTTGTGATTTTTGAAATTTTAGGAATTAGGTTCTCGATTTTTTTAAAAGAAGGAATTTAGGAATTTTGGACCTATGAGATCTTGGGATTTTTGAAGTTTGGGGTATATGAGATTTTGTACATTTTGGTTGAGATTTTGGGATTTGGGTAACAATTAGTAGCTTTTGACGTGCAGAGGTGATTCTTTTAGATTTTGACGTTGATAATCCAAATCACCCAGAAAATTGAAAACCGCGAAATTTCAGAATTTAGATTTGGGTATTTTTGGAAATTAGGGAATTTAAAATTTTGGGATTTTCGAAATTTTAGTTACGTCATTTTGGGAATTTGAGATTTGGGATTTTTGAAATTTCATGAATTAGGTTCTGGATTTTTTTAAAATAAGGAATTTAGGAATTTTGGACGTGAAATCTTGGGATTTTTGAAGTTTTGGGTAAAAATTAATAACTTTTGACGATTCTTGTAAATGTTGACCTTGAGAATCCAAATCACCCAGAAAATTGAAAATCGTGAAATTTCAGAGGTTAGATTTGGGTATTTTTGGAAATTAGGGAATTTAAAACGTTGGGATTTTCGAAATTTTAGTTACGTGATTTTGGGAATTTGAGATTTTTGAAATTTCAGGAATTAGGTTCTGGATTTTTTTTAAATAAGGAATTTAGGAATTTTTGACCTATGAGATCTTGGGATTTTTGAAGTTTTAATTACGTGTTTTTGGGAATTTGAGATTTGGGATTTTTGAAATTTCAGGAATTAGGTTCTGGACTTTTTTAAAATAAGGAATTTAGGAATTTTGGACCTGTGAGATCTTGGGATTTATGAAATTTCAGAAGTCAGATTTGGGTATCTTTGGAAATTAGGGAATTTAAAATCTTGGGATTTTCGAAATTTTAGTTACGTGATTTTGGGAATTTGAGATTTGGGATTTTTGAAATTTCAGGAATTAGGTTCTGTATTTTCTTAAAATAAGGAATTTTGCAACTATGAGATCTTGGGATTTCTTACGTTTTGTTTGAAATTTTAGGATTTGCGTAAAAATTAATAACCAAAGGCGATTCTTTTAGATTTCGATCTTGATAGTGTCAAATTTCAGATCGAGTACAAGCAGATCGAGCACCTCTTCGAGCATGCACGGCGGCAAGGACTATTCGTACGCATGAGTAGCGGCGAACATCTGTAAATCCATATCCATGACATTCTGCAAGAAGGAGGACGACGAGAACGAACAAAACGGGGGCACTGTTTGACATTTTGCTATGTTATGCATCTGGATTTGCCGATAATGCCTATACATGGAGACAATATGTAAACCTACAAGAGATGATGAGAGCCAATCAAAAACCACCATTCAAAATTTGACAAGACTGAGAATTTATGATTTCGACGTAATATATTTTTACATATCATTTTGAGATGATGTCATTTCAATCTGACTTACTTAAGTAGGCGACTTACTAGACACGAGTCGGAGGCAGAAAGCGGTTAATTTTGTTTTGTTGAATGCGACGCTTAGATTGTAAGCAGTTTTTAAATGTATAAGTGATACGAGAATGTTAGTGACATAGATATAGCTAAAGTAATATATTGTACCACCTTTTCCTTTGTATATAACCTCTCTTTGTATATTACTATATTTTTCAAATTTCATTTGTAGTATATTATTGTATTACTTATTGTTACAATATGTATAGTATAATAATAGATGTTGTGGATACATATTTTGACTCATCCTATTCATTTCCTAATATCTCAAAATATCAAAGACCCTAAATTCCGAAAAATTCCAATATCTCAAAAAATACCAAAATCCCTAAAATAACCCAAAATTTCCACAATCCTAAGAACTCAACCGGAATTTCAAAAATCCCAAAATCTCATATACCCAGAATTTAAAAAAAAGGCCCGAAATAACTAATTACCTTATTTTAAATAATCCCAAAATATAATTACCGAAATTTCAAAAATGACATGATCTCAAAATTCTCTAATGTTCAAAATGCCCAAAATCTTAACTCCCGAATTTTAAAAATATCAAATTCTCAAAATGCCAAAATTCCCAATATATTGAAATTCCCACACTCTCAAAATTTTAATAGGTAATTGAGTTCCCAAAAATCTCAAACCCCCAAATTTCAAGTCTTAAATTCCCATAATCCCATAACCAAAAATTCTATGATCTCAAAATTTTAAATTGTGAAAATTTCAAGAATTCTAAAATTAAAAATCCTGATTCCGTTTCCAGCATTCTAAACATTTTCAAATTCCCACAATTTCATAAACTCAAATTCTCAAAATGTCAAAATATATTTCTAAATTTCCAGGATCCTAAATCCTCAAAAATCGGAAAATTTTAAATAACGAAAATTTCAAAAACCACAAATCTCATACACCCAAAGTTTCAAATTCCCGACAATTTTAAAATCCCGGATCCCAAATTACTAAAATAAAATTTTCATCACTCAATCCAATTCCTGAAATTTCGAAAATCTCATTCACATGCAAATACGTACCAAAAATCCTAAAATCTAGACTTTTCAATATCTTTAAAAAATACCAGAATCTCAAATACCCAACGTTCGATCCAAAATCTCACGCGTTCATAAATCACAAATTTCCAAAAAACACAACATTTCAAATTCACAAAAATTCTACTCTCAAAATTTCAAAAATCCTAAATTCTCAAAAATTCCAGAATCTTAAATTCTCCAAAAGAACCAATATCTCCAATACCCTAAATTTCGACAATCCCAAAAACTCTTAACCAGAAGTCAAGATCTTATAAGCCCAAAAGTTCAAATTCTCTTATTTTAAAACATCCGAAAATCTAATTACCCCATAACCAAAATTTCAAAAATTCTATGATCTCAAAATTCCAAATATTAAACTTCCTAATATTCAAAAAGCTCTAAATCTTACTCGAATTTTAAAAATATTAAATTTCAAAAATCACATTCCCAATATATATCCCATACTCTGAAAAGTTTAAAAATTGAATTGTCAAAATTTCAAGAATTCTAAAATATTAAAAATCCTGATATAAATTTCCAGTATTCTAAAAATTCTCAAATTCCCGAAATTTCAAAAGTTCAAATTCCCACAATTGCATAAACTCAAATTCTCAAAATATCAAAAATATATTTCTAAATTTCCTAAAATCGGAAAATTTCAAATACCCAAAACTTCAAAAACCAAAAGATCTCATACACAAAAAGTTTCAAATTCCCGGACATAAAAAATCTAATTCCCGGCAATTCTAAAATCCCGGATCCCAAATTACTAAAATAAAATTTTCAAAAATCACTCAATCCAATTCCTGAAATTTCAAACATCTCATTCACATTTGAAATACGTACTAAAAATCCTAAAATCTAGACTTTCAATACCTATATCGAAAGTAACATAATCTTAAATTTTCAAAAAACCAGATATTGGATAGGAGAAACAGAACGACTACGCCCTTTTCTTTTTTAGAAAATGATAAAGCCGTTTTACCCCTAACCAGCGCATTTCAAAAATCTCATTCATAAATCACAAATTTCCAAAATCCCAAAATTTCAAGTTCACAAAAATTGTATCTCAAAATTTCAAAAAACCTAAATTTCCAAAATCTCAAATTCTCCAAAAAACCGATATCTCAAATACCCCAAAATTTCGACAATCCCAAAAACTTAATCAAAATTGCCAAGATCTCACAAGCCCAAAATTTCAAATTGCCTTATTTTAAAACATACAAAAATCTAATTACCGGAATTTCAAAATCTCAAAATCCCATAACCAAAATTTCAAAAATACCATGATCTCTAAACTGGCCAATATTCAGAAAGATCAAAATTTTAACTCTCGAATTTTAAAAATATCAAATTCACAAAATTTCGAAATTCCAAAATTTCCAATATATCGAAATTCCCAAATTTTAATAATTTTGATAATTGAATTCTCAACATTTCAAAAATTCTAAAATCTTAAAACCCCTGGTTTAAAATTTCCAACATTCTCAAAAATCTCAAATCTCCGAAATTTCATTAGGCACAAGGTTTAAAATTCGCAAAAGTTCAAATTCCCACAATTTCAAAAATTCAAATTACAAAATGCTATCCGCCCAAACTTTCAAATTCCCGTATTAAAAAATTCCTGAAAATTCTAATAACCGAAATCCAAATTCCTAAAATAAAATTTTCAAAAATCGCTTACCGAAAATTTCTCTCATATTCACATTTTAAATACCAAAATTTCAAAAATTCGAAAATGTAGACTTTCCAATAACTATATCGAAATTCCCATAATCCCAAATTTTCAAAAATCTTAAATTATCTAAAATTTTCAAATATTAAAAAGACTCAAAAACCTCAAATGGGCAATGGAATGTTGAGAGACGTATTGGAAGGATCTGTGGAGGAAAAGGAAGAAAAATCTGAATGAATTGATGATTTGAAGAAGGGAGCAGGCTATGTGGGTATGCAGAGAGAGGCAATGGACCAGGAGTTGTGGAGCAGGGATTCACTTAAGAACCTGCCAGCTGGCAGACAAGTTTAAAATTCACAAAAATCAAAATTCCCATTTCAAAAATTTTCAATTCACTAGTTACTAGATTTCACTTATTACTTATGTAGCACTTAATTTAAATGTGCGGTATTTGTTTTGGACGAATGGTCTTGGATTACGGTCCTGACTACGTAATTGCGTGTGAAACGCCAGCTTGTCGCCGAAATTAATGGAATGTTGCAATTGTTTGGGTCAATAGTTTCCGGATACGGCACTGTTCGATTATTGGCGTTAGAAAAGTGGGTAGAGCCAGTCTGGCGGAAGATAATGAATTATACGTGACAGTTTCTGATGAGTTGGGTCCGTTTCGTGACGCAGCCTAAGAACCGCTTACGCCGATGGTTCTAGCAGAAATGCCGACCCCGAGGTTTCTGGAATTGGCAGAATGAGTAAAGCTGTTCATTAGTCTCTCTATTATACTGTTATGTGCCGAACTCCCATATTTCGTACGTTTGCAAGATTTTGTAAACTTCCCGAGTTAATGGATTACCCAAGTTACAAGATCTTTAGTTGAAACTTTCACAGCATGAACGACAACAAACATTAATTTTTTATTCATTTTTACAGGCGGCACTGGGTGGAATAATAATTGTGGTGATAACGTTTCGTATTTAATTTATCCCTCTACTGTTTCAAGCTTTACTTTATCACAATCCGCTCCAATATATACGGATGGCCGTCCTATAGGGTAATTACAGTATTTATTGACATACGGGAGGTAAAATTGAGGTATTTTGTCTGTTCAACTTGCTTTGGTTTGTAAAAAAGATTCCACGCTTCCTGTTTGTTCTCCATTCCATAAAATGCATCTCTTGGATTATCGTTATTGGTCTGACCTTGAAATTGGTTAATGTTGTGCGCGTCAAGATGGCGCACGCGCATTCTTCAAATTCCAAAAATTTGTAGTGTACTTAACCCCCAGGTTCTACGCTAACTTCACACTACAAGAACACGGAAATAAAATAAACCCGGCAACGTTTAAAAATGGCCACTCGAATGACTATTTCCTCTAAAACTAAACAAGATCCCGCTTAAATTTGAAAAGTGGCACGTGATAAAACATCTAAGGCAGGGACCCCTTACGTTAGTTGTAGACAACGCCTTGACCTGAAGCACAGTAGGGAAGGAACGTTAAATAAAACACTGAAATTGGAAAAAGTTTGTTTAATAATGATCGTAATTATCATGATTGTGAAAACCCGGAAAGTTAGTTGATGTACATTAATATAAACAAAACAAACAAAGCCAAAAGGTGTCGTACTCTCGCAAAAGTCACTGCCAAGGGTAAAAAGAGTACGACAAAGAAAAACCTTGCAGTTTGATTAAAACAGTCCAAAAGTTAATAAACAAAATATTTTGTAAAAATTTAAGCAGTAGTTAACAAAGATAGTAAATGCATATACACAGGTTGGTTACACACAAGGCTAAAACAAGTTTTTGGGGACAATGGGTCAGGTAGGAGCAGGTACCAAGATTCTGAGAAATGGTGAAATACACAGGATGTGACTCATCTTTGGTGCAATAAAGTCCTTTTGTTGAAAGCAAGATGGAAAATTACATGGCCTTGTAGGCAAGTTTGACTAAAAACAAGATATGTGGAAATTATTGAATCGCCACTCATTTAACGCACATAGAATCTAAACTGAAGAGCTTTGATTAGCGTAATCTCGCTCCTGCAAGATGGGTAGTCCGCCCCTGGTTTCGGGGTTTCGAACCTACAGTTGGATGTCGAAGACAGTGCACGGAATTAGGTGCCCTAACACATAATTATAGACTACAGTTTCTTTTTCCACCTCCCGTGACTGCTTCATTCACGGAGAAAATTGTTAGTAACAAACAACAAGTCAGTACATACATCAAACGAATCAGCAATTTCCACATATTAAAATAAAATGAAAACTTACATGAATGTAACTTCAGGGACAAGACCAAGTAATCAACATCAATAAACATAAATTAAGCAAACATTACACCAAAAATGTAAACAATTATAAACAATAGCATAACGGTATCACACATATGATTGCATTGCGGTTAAACAAAATAAATTTCAAAGACAGAGATTCAAACACACAACAAATATAAAATGCGGCATACAAAACACAAATACGATATAAAGAAATGCAAAAATTACTACCTGCATTAAATAACACAAAATAACAACACATTTATGGAGCGACGCGTTCACGACCGCCATTCAAGACAAGATGCCAAACGTAACTCCCGTTCGTGCTTTCTAGGTGGCGCAGGCAGCTTTTTTTTCCCACCTAGAAATTGCATGGTTGCCAACTCTCAAAAATGTATGTATCGTCGTAAGTTGTATATACAGGGTGGAACCTCTCAAATTGTAGTTTTTTTCTACAAAAAAAGTTCTTCCCGGGCATCACTCTGATAAATTAGACATCCATAGTAATATCTAAATGTAAATAATAGTCGTGCAATGAAAAGATCCACACTACCGGCGCCAGTTACAAATTTGGTCCTTCTAACCAAATCAACATGTGCGGGTTACAATCTCTAATGTTCTCGGTTCCCAAAACAAACCAAATGTGACTCTATACTAGTTTATTTCTTTGCTTTATTAAAATTACTCTCTAACACTTCAGCCCTTATCGAAAACTTTAGTATGGTATCGAGATCGTCCGACTGGACGGCTACTTGTGTCTTCCGTGGACAACCGCCGAAAGTAGCCCCCTACAAATTCGCCCTTACCGAAAACCTGCAAATCTAATTTAAACTCCCTCATCGTCTCTCTGAAGACGGGGTAGAGGTACTGGATCACTCCGTGATCCATCACGGGAAACAGGTGATGTAAAACGTGGTCGCCTAGGAAGATCAGCCCGAGAAAGTGAGTGTTTACCATTCCGATTTTCTCGCCTGCCGTATCCACTTGGCTGACGCCCCAGTCGCTTTCGTCGTACCTGAAACGCGAGCAAGTGTTAATCGGGGCGAGTTTTGGGGTTTCGCACCTGGACACGTCGCCGTCCATGAAGATGTCGGGGTGGTAGTGGTTGAGCGTAAAACCGACCAAGCCAAACCAGAAACCGTTGACCAGCATTATAAAGACCCACATGGTCAGTACGTTGAGCGGGGGTTGCTTGGTAGCCACGTAGAGAAACAGAGGCAAAATCCATGCCAGCAGATCGTCTCGGATGTGCTGCGATTTACCCGAGAAGATCCACTGGTATAACCTACAAATTTTCGCTGTAAACCGAATTTGGAAACGTGCACTCACTTTATAACGTGCGGTCCTAGGAAGAACATGGGCCACACCATCAGAGGAACGTAAATGTACGACAGATACTTTGTGACAAATGACTTTTTGCCAGGATACAACAGCACTAACGGTTCCAGCATGTGCGCCTGCAGGTCAGAAACCGAATTCGGAAACGCATGGTGACTAAGAACGTGTACGATTCTGAAATCTCTAAGGGGGTTTTAGAGCTTGGGGTGTAACTAGTGTTACCGAGAGTTGAGCATGAACACGTAATTTGGGTACAGTCGGAAATTGTCCGCCTTGTGATAGTAGTTGTGACCGGCGACAAGGGTGAACGCCATGCAAATTCCCGCGCTAATCCCAATCGTGTGACTGGAGTAAAGCGTGGCCAGCGTACTCAGTAGCACCGACACAACGAACAAAATGTCAAATATCCAATTCGATGTCTTGATCGGGTCTTTCGGCAGGTGCGGCAGAAGTGAACGCACCCTGCCCTTAAGCGTCTTGTAGAAGCCATCCTCGTGGAAAGTGAACGGCGAATTTCTTGGAGTTCGTGCTTTACGAACGAAATATTTCGGTAGCAGCTGTTCTGCTTTGGACGATATGTGATGGGACTCCCAGCTTTCGGTTATGTCCAAACCCTAGAAAAATACTTGGCTTTAGTACATTGGGCGTGCTAACTTTAAAACGCCCATTAGAGTGATTTTCATTCACACAGGACAATTTACCATTTGAAAACTATTACGATAAATTCGAACAATAGCGTACATTTTGAAACCTCATGCAAATTCCTTCGTGTTTTTATTTATACTTAGATACAGTATGTTCGCTTATGGAGGAATGTGCAGAATTAAATCGAATTAATTCATTTTTGTGTTCCTGTTGCTGCAGTTTGAGGTATCGACATTAAATTGTTTGCAGAATTTCATTTCTTTTACAGGTCTATATGTGTTTCTGTTTCTTTACAGGGTGTTTCATCTATGGGCGAATTGCGTTAGGTCAAGATTGTTACATATTGCACTTGGCATTGAATTTAATTAATTAATCTAATATTTTGCTACAAGCTCCCTTGCTTTGTTTTTGTTGTAATGTTAATTAACGGAATGCTGCCTGACTTGCACCAGATATATTTATGTATGTGTACCTACGATTAGCGCCTTCCTCTTCTATACAAAACAATTTCCTTTTCTCACTTCCGTTCGTTCCTTAACAAAATACAGCGTCTGCGAAACAATAGCTCAAGGTCGCTTGCCATCTGGCGGTGACCTTGGTAAGTAGGTCGAGGTAAGTCGCGTGCCACGTGGGCGGTAACCATGGAAAGTAGGTCCAAGGGCCTCGACAACCTAAAAATGAAATATGGCAGCACAGAAGTTGGGTCATTGACCTCTGATAACCTTGAAACATACACATTACACAAATGGGACTATTGACCTTCGATTGCATTGAAAATAAAACATGACTTCATTGACTTCTGATAAACTTGAAAATGAAACAACGCAAAAATCGAGACCATTGAACTTAAATTACCACCAAAACAAAAAGGGTCATTGACCTCTGACGGCAAAACATTGGAGGGCATTGAATATTCATAACCTTGAAAATGAAATGACACATTAAAAATGGGGCAATTGACCTTTAATGACCTTGGGAGTAAAATGTTGCGTATTTGCAAGACCACAAAGTGCCCTGAGATGATCTCAAAAATTAAACATTAAAGCAAATGGAGGTCATTGAACTGTGATAACCTTGAAAATGAAATATGGCACCACAAAAATTGACCTTTAATGACCTTGGGAGTAAAATGTTACGTATTTGCAAGACCACAAAGTGATCTGAGATGATCTCAAAAATTAAACATTAAAGCAAATGGAGGTCATTGAACTGTGATAACCTTGAAAATGAAATATGGCACCACAAAAATTGACCTTTAATGACCTTGGGAGTAAAATGTTACGTATTTGCAAGACCACAAAGTGATCTGAGATGATCTCAAAAATTAAACATTAAAGCAAATGGAGGTCATTGAACTGTGATAACCTTGAAAATGAAATATGGCACCACAAAAATGGGGCCATTAACCTTTAATGAGCTTGAGAGTAAAATGTAGCATCCTTGAAATAAGACCACAAATTTGGGTCATTGACCTGTGATGACCTCGGAAATTGAATATTCAACAGAAAAAATATTAAAGGTCATCGAACTCTGATGACCTTGAAAGTGAAATATGACACCGCAAAAATGTGACCGTTGACCTTTAATGACCTTCGAAGTAAAATGTTACAACCTTGAGATAAGACTCCCCAAAATAAGACTATTGATCTGTGATGAGCCCGAAAAATGAAATGCTACATACAAAAATTGGACAATTTACCTTAAAAATGAAATAACATACTACAAGAATGAGAACTTGAAATTAAGGGTCGTTGACTTGACCTAGTTTCCAAGGTCACTGATCACCACGGTGACGGGCGACCTTGAACTGGTTCAGGTTCAACCCTATATGTCTACTCACGTGATTATCTTAAAACTAGTTAGCTTACGCCGCAGTAACGCTCTTATCGCAACGACCGGATGAAAACATGAGATAAACTTTTCCAAATACTGTGCAAATAATTTTTAACTGAATAAATCTAGTCTTTTAGCACGTTTGAACTTTACAATTGAGTAAACAAAATACAAGCGATTATTTAAACAATATTAACAACATTAAATAATTCCTATTCAAAATAAAATTGATGTATAATATGATCGGATTCGCTCTTATCCCAACTTACAACTTTTAACGTTACAAACAATTGAAATGCACATACAGGGTGTCACACCGTTATTGCAAGTACCGAAACCAAATAAAACGTCCTTGTGACGTAGTAGTTTACGCATCAATGTGCTTAGATAATTATAAACAACAAATTCTCGGTTCTGATTTCCTCATATTGTTGTCCTACCTCTTGTTAATTGCTTCTTTTAATATTAGGATTGACTTTTTGCTTTGTTAACGCGTTGATCAGTTGTTCTTCTGTGGGAGAGGGTTGATAATGCGCCGTTTCGGCTACTGTGATGCTTCCTGATGTATGAATGTTGAAAATGTTATCCTCCACGTTGGTACGCCAATGGCGAAGAAAAATCGGGAAGGTTGTGATCAGATAAAGCGCCAAATTTAAATATCTCAATAAGATCAAAATCGATACGTTACCTGAATTATATCTTTAAATCAATAAATGCTGTCAAATACAGGTCAGCTTTATTTATGATGCAAACGTTATAGGAACATTTTAATTATAAATTTAACTTTGAACGATATAAAATATGAAATATGAAAAAGAGATCGAACGTGAAATTAATAAAGACAAACGGGTGTGGGTGCATCACGTATGGAAACAACGACCAACTGAAGGCGAATTTGTGACATTGTACAAGAAATTGGTGGACCAAATTCCATAAAATGTTTACAAAAGCGGAGTCGAAAACAGAAAATCACGGTAGTGAATACCAAAAATGTCGTCGGCAAGTTATCCCAGAATTAGTGTTTGGTGACGGCCGACAGCACTATTTGCAAGTGATGATCCCTTTAAAAAGGAATGTTTTGGTATAGAGTTGATACCTACTGCTACGGCCCCACCTTGGGCGCCAAAATAGCGTAAACAGACATACACTCTTAACAAACCGTCGCGAACCAGCCATTTTTTTTGTTGTCTCCAGTATTTAAAGAAACACCACCTCCATCATACAATAAGTTCCTTCGTCCGGTATTTACAAATAAAGCGCCAATCAAAATAAGATTAACGCCAACTTCGAAGGAACGCGCTTGAAGTCTACTCTTCTTTTTTACGACACGCGCAATTGTTCGTAACACACGTGGATTACTCTTGTCTGCGCCAGATGTGCATTTTCCTTGAAATTAACTAATTATCGCCTGATCAAAAGTTCGTATCGCAAACACCTTAATAAACACCTTACGCAAAATTTGACCAGATGTTCCCACATTTAAACACGCACTTTAACGTTCTACAATTCGTTACACAATTTACACAAGCGATAATAAAATTAAACAAACAAAATTACGCCATTACAAACAACACTAAGATACAAATTCAAATGAAATAAACCAATTCAGTGCTCATGTTGGACGGCGCTGTCCGTCCGTCCGTTTTTCCATCCGTCCTTCCGTCCACCCGAGGCCGCAACTACTCTTCTTACAGTTTTCAAGATATTTAGTTCGTTCTTTTTGCATTCGGTAGCTTATAGCTCTGGCACCTCAACCAAGAAAAATCTTAACGATTCTATTGTCGAGATATTTTTTGAAATTTTAACCAAAGATTCTCCTAGTGAAATCAAACATATCGCATATTTTAAACATCATGTGTGCGCATGCGCAGATTGCGTAATGCTAAGTGCATAATATAATAAGCGAATAAACCGGATTCGACGATCTCACATCTCACATGTGATATGTGAAAAAGAAGGAAATCGTCGCAGATGTTTTCCCCCCACGCTACCGCCGTTTTTGTGTTTTTCCCCATAAAACCCCCTCCGGAGGGCAAACGGTAAGTACCACGGAATCGCCGCCACGGTTTAGGCGGGTACCGAGGATGGGCGCGGAAGGTAGCATAGAGTAAGAATTTTTATCAACCCTCCGTGGGTGGGGGAGGGAGGGGGTTGCCCGTAAGAGGTGAAAAACGCGAAAAAACATGTTTTCGGACCTGGCGGGAAGTTGTTCGACCTATGTGGTGGGCACCTTCGGAATCAGGGGTGACCACTTTTCGATTTTTGTTTCGATTCGTCTCGACTCCCTCCGGGAGGTAGGGGGAGAGGTGCGCTCGCAAGGCCGTGCATAGGTAAAGTCGCTACTTTGAAAATTCGTAGCGGACGAAGGAGTGGGGATACGAAAAAACTTTATGGTGCGCGCGATTAGCTCTCTCGGTCGCGCGAACGATTAGGGTGCTGGCGGAGGCGCGCGACGCGAAGTGGAGCGCATGGGAATTTTTTGATAAAAAGTGATGCTCTTCGGGGGTAAAAAAAAGTGCATGCGAGCGGCTGCTTGGTGCTCAATACTCGAGCGTTTACTTAAAGTGCTCGGCGTTCGAGCGCTTTTTTCCGCTCGCGAGCTCTTTTTCCGCTCACGAGCGCTTTTTCCGCACCTGAGAGTTTTTTTCCGCTCGTGAGCGCCTTTAACCGCCCTCAAGTGCTGAAGGATTAAGCGCCGCTCGCGAGCGTTTTTCCGGTATTGAGCGTTTTTTTCTGTTCACGAGCACTTTTCCCGAGCGCTCACGATAAACCGCTCTAGCACTTTTAGGAGTGTTCGGAACTCGAAATCGGTTCCGCTTTGGGAAACAGCTCGATGCTCGCGAGCATTTTTGGGGCAATTAGAGCGCTCGTCGCTCGAGCGGTTTTTTAGAACGCTCGACCCAGCTTTGAAAGAGCGTTACGAGAAGGCGAAGGTGGCGAAACGCACGCGGGACATCGCGACGCTTCGAACGCGCCGTGTGCCGAGTTCGCACCCCCCGCCTTCCTCCCCGGCATGGAGGGAAAGGCAAGAAGTCATAGGGGAGAGGGGGTGTATCGGTTGGGTTTTTTTGAGTTAGTTCGAGGGCGCCCGGGTGGAAACTAGATCGCGGGCAGGCGGGGTACGTGAGGAGGACGAGGCGTAGAGTGACGTTTTTGAGGGTTTTTTTTGCGAATTACTCGAAAACGTGCTCGGAGATTTTAATTAAATTGTAGTCACTTTAGGGGTGGCGGGGGAGAGGGGGGGTGTCGATAAAAGAAAAATGAGTTTCGGGAAGGCGAAGGTGGTGAATCGGACGCGCGACATCGCGGTGTTTCCAACGCACCATGTACCGATATCGCCCCCCCTCCCCCCTCCACGCCATGTAGAGACAAATTTGGGACGCCGTAACGGTAGAACGGAAGCATGTATCGAGTTGCGGTATTGCGTGCCGGCTTCGTAGATCGACTGGAATTCAGAGGCGTCGGGTCGCACCCCCTCCTGTCCCCCCGAATTGCGCATAAATGGCAGCTTTCTCTTATTTTGGGGTTTATTCGGAAACGACGAGTTCTAGAACGATGCCGTTTCTTACGTTGGGTTGCATTCTAGAATCGACGGCGATTTGAGATCGGACCTCCCCCCCCCCCCATGGACGTATTCAGTTGCGTTTTTTTGCGCGTTGACCTCGCAGTGCGATTGCGCTTCCGAGGCGGCGGATCGGGCCCCCCTCCCTCCCTCCCACATTAATTATACATGACAATTTTGGCGTTTATTCGATAACGAGGGGGGCTAGAACCATGTCGTTTTTTATGTTGGATTCCAAAATCGCTCGGTCGCGTTCTAGAATCGACGGCGATTTTTGTAAATGTGCAAGGCGAAGCCGAGCAATGTGTCAACGGACCAAGTGTGAAATTATGTGACACACACGTACCCCCCCCCCCCCAATCGCCTATGCGCATGCGCAAAACGCAACTTCCTTACTTATGGAGCAATTTGAACGGAATTTGTGTGATAGGTCTCTCTAATAAAAGCAAACAAAATGCATAGTCGTACTGCGCATTATCAAAACTCAACTTTCTTATTTATGCAAGTAAACGATAAAGAGTTGTATGTCGTCTATAGCATGGAACGAAACGAGATAGCACACATCAGTATCCAAAACCGAATAGGTATATATTACACCAAAAAAATGAAGACAGAAGTAAAAAATACCCCATTTTCGGCGCAATTTGTGCGAAATAAACTCACACTAGCGAAGTCTTCAAATGCGCCGCCTTTTTGCCAACCTATACGATGAGATTCAATAAAAAGAGGCTATCGATATATTGGTGCTTTTTTGAGCCGAATCAAATTTCTTATCCCTTTTTTTCGTATTTTATAAAATTCCAACGTTACGTAAAAACAACCCCTAACAACATTCTCGCAACAATTAAGCAAAAAACTATACTGATCAATTGTGAGGATTTTTCCACTCAGATTAATATTTTATTTATAACGTTTATTGATATGTGAAGATATCTACGCTCCAAAGTTAAGTGGAATATCAATTTCCAATTCCGAAACATAAAGTGCATCGATTGATGGGAACGTGGTGGAAAAGCGACTTACTTGGGTCGTTTCGATCCAAAATCTTCCGCCCGGATGCGTTTCGACAAAGTGCGTCAAGTCGTATAGGCCGTCGTGAACCCTCCATAGACCTTCAGCTCCGTCGAACCGTTTCTTATCCTCTAACCATTGATCCGCCGACTTTATGAACGAATCCATGCAGTCACCCTCGTGTATTATTCCCAAGGTGGACGGTCTTCTTTGGGCTTTCGCCATTTTTGCTTTCTACAGGGTGGAATTGTTAAAAAAACGTACAAAGGAGACTTACTTTTGGTTTTGTACCTAGACGTTACCACTGACTAGACAAAGGTTTTGCAAGTGACTAAACATGACCCGTGAGACCTTCACTTACAGCAATTGTGTTGCATTTTCTCACAATCAGCATTGTAAAAGGAATCTTCCACGGTTAGATAATTTTCTTCTCTCTCAGTCTGCTATAGGTACGTAGTACGTGCTTCTTCAAACTTACTCACCTTTTAGCTTCACCGACTCCACGTCTTCTCCAAACCATGCAAACGTTCCCGCGGTGGTGCCCGAGCCCAAATAATTCCCAGATTCTTGTACAATAAACTCGCTAACTAAACTTGAGCGGAAATATCCCAAACGTCTTCAACAACTATAGTCGAGTCTTTGACCCGTAGTGCTGGATATCATATACTGATTATGTGTTATTTTTATACTATGATTATTCTACAATAGAAATTGAGTGAAAGAGGAAACCAAAACATTTATTTCAATAAACAGAGGATCGCAAATGATTCGTTTGGAGGCTACCCTTAAAAATACCCAAAATTGCATTTTTGTTCACTGTAAAATGTCACAAGAAGGATGGATACTGGAATTGAAATGCTTTGTTTTAATTAGAAAATCCCAACTCAATTCCAGTCCGCTCCTTACTGGAAGAATATTTTTTGAGTCCCTAGTTACTTGACATTTTAATTACCTACTTGATGTTTTATGTTGGTAGAATCGACGACCGTATAATTTATTTTGTTTTGCAAAGTTTTTTGACCCTTTGACATTATACACATGATTGTAAATTAAAAAATTTAATAACAATTTCATTTATAATTAAATAACAATAAGTTTATAACAGTTGAAATATTATATCACTTACACATACACAACAACAGCGCGAACCATTTATCACTTCGGCGTTGAAATTGAAACTATCCTGAAACGCAATTCTATTTGCTTATATAGTAAACTGGAGCGTTCCCGAAGTCTTCTGGAATGATCTAAAGCAAAGCACGTCATATTTCCCGGAAAGATTATTCCATTCGTCGTTGAAATTTGTCTAGACCCATATAATTACTTATGCTCTTGGTCCTCCTTGCTTGGCGAGCAAGCACCATGGCCAGTTTCAATCTCATAATGACTAAACATAAGTACTTGTATAATATTATTTCCCCCCATGAATGATTGGCATGTGGTTTTAGGAGTTTTGTATTCTCTTAATTGTATGATATTTTTCTGTTGGTTTTTTTCTTATACTGGTCTTGTGTAAACAACATGGGTTTAAACACCCTGTATATGAAAAATATCTTATTTTAGTCAAGTAAATCTGGGATTATTTACGAATAAGTACAGAATGTGTTTATTTCATTTGAATTTGTATTCCTGTAGTTGTTTTTCCATTTTAGAATTGTTTGAAATTATGTAATTTATTTAATTTAGATAAAATGCATTAGATAAGATGGTTAAATTTGGCGTACTTTATGAATGGTTTATTGAAGTGTTTGCGATAAGAACTGTTCAACGATGTGCGCTTTATTTCGTCGTAAGAGGGGACGCGCGATGCGTTCTGTCAGGGCTGACGGTCTTTTTGAAAGACCTTGAGGAAGGAGGACGCCCGTTTTGATTAGTTAAAGACGCCTGTTTGTCCGTTTTATGGAAAAAGTCTATCAAGCCGGCAGTTAGTGCAACGTGAGCCATTTTGTTAAGATCCTCTTGTTATTATAGTTAACAGAAAGTGAAGATCAAAAGCTGTCAGCGCTTGTGTTAAGTGCGCCCTGTCATCACAAGCCAGACTATTATAGGATACTTAAAAGAGAAACAAACAATTTTAAGATTTTCACCTGCGTGCGGTGTAATTTGTCCAAACAAGCTTTGTAAGCTTTTCTTTTCTTTAGGAATTTTGTTTTAATTTTCATGCGTTTCAGAATAAATTTTTGTCATAGTCAATCAATTGTGTTTATTCGAACCCTTTGTGCGATCCGGATAGAGTTCTCATGTTATATTTTTCTTTTCATGTCAGGTGCTAATGAACGCATTTCCGGAGGCTACCAGCTACACAGCAACTGACATATTTTTCCCTTGGATTGTTTCCGATGCATTGGAGTACTGTTAGGTGAAGGGCGTGCGTGGTTTGACGATATGTTCCTAATTTGTGAGACCTTTAGATAATATAGCCTTACACACTATATTGCCTGGGGTCGAACCAGAGAGTTACTCTCCAGCTTTGGAACCATGTTGCGAGGGTGTCATGGGTTTTCGCAACATTTAAGATTTTTTTTTTTCGAAGAGCTACCAGGATTGGCGAAAATCCTTTAGGTGGGTGCTGCAGGCTATACAATTGTTTTTATGACATTAAAAAACATTGATTTAAACGGATTTAAAAAATGAAAAATTAAAGAAACGAAATTTTTTAGTTTTTTAAAAACATCTTTTTGGAATCTTTTCTGAATTTTTTTAAATTACTGAAATATTTTTTGAATATCATCCCTGGTGTCATTTTTGAAATTAAAATTTTGCAGTCTTTTTCATGAAAATATACAGGGTGTTCTATTTAGAAAAGTGAGATAAGGTGTGATAAGTTTTCCACCTAAACCATAGCCTAAACCCGTATAAAGAAACTGTTTTAATAAACATTTTCCTATAAGTATCTTGTAGGTAAGAAAATTGACAATTGCCCCCCCCCCCCTCATATCTCTTAAGAGAGCGAAATTTCACCACAAGTACAAGACTTTTTTTATAACGGAGATACCTTATAAAAGTGTCGAAAATGGGACTTCAGATTGAACCATTTCCACTAGTGTCAAAAATAGTGGAAGACATTGGACATTTTGAGGGTAACTTGAGAACTACTTCTGGACCATATGAGCTAATGAAGATATTGACAGAACTTGAGGAGAATTTGATCGGAAATTCATAGTAGACGAAGCTTAAAAAAATGAGTCTTGAAGGCTGAGCGCTCTTATGAGAGGAGGTAACGCCGGGTACTGAATTATCGAGCCGCCCCTCCCATCCAGGTGATACATTTGTTAGCACTAGCAGGATAATTTTCTCGAAAAATACGTCAAACACTGACGCACTTATACCATGCGATCAAAAATGAGTTGCTGTCAAGTCACCTTTGGAATTTTTGTTTACATGGGAAATCGTACTTAAATTGAACTTCCAAAGGCGACTCGACAGCAACTCATTTTTGATCGCCCGTCAGAAGAACCGGTGAGTCGGGGTGTATAAAATACCCGCGTGAATACGCTGAAGTTGATAAATTCTCTGAAGTAATTAATCCATTATCAACAAAGACACACTTTGACCTAAGGAAAGCTGAAGCTGTATAAAGCCAGTACAGGAATCAAATCAATCTGGGAGGATCGTCAGGGAAATTCATCCACATATTTCGGGCCATTGCCAATTTCTGTAACTTCATGTACCACGAATACGAGCCTTGACCTAGGGCAATTTTTTAATTGAGACAACTTCAATGGGAGTCGATGCGTCTTCAGTCAGAGGGGGAGGGAGCATTTTTCTCCAATGCGATACCTTCCTTACTAAGGTACGGTTGGTAAAAAAAAGACAATGGAACATGAAATAATCTAGACACAAATTGTCCAGGAAAAATGAGAAAGAAAGGGAAAGGGGGGACGAAAAGCGAAAAAGTAAAAAATAAAAAATCAAGACAATGACACAAAAAATAGAAATGCTAGTAAATAAGAGGTTAAGGAGACCAGAGAAAAATAAGAAAAAGAAGAAAGAGGTACCGAGGAAATGCGAAAACGAGTGAATGCAATAGGAAGGTAGTAGAGAGAAGGGGCAAAAGAAGAATAAGAGAAAGTAAGCAACGTTGCATACGGACATGCGTAAATAAGAAGAGGAAAAAACGAAAAGGAGAAACAAAGGTTTACCCCTTCTTAAACGAGAAAACAAATCGAAAAAGTGGTACCTAATTGAGTAAGGGGAAAAGAAACAAGAAATGAAGGAGACAATAGGACAAATCAAAAGAGGCCAAGAAAGAATGAAGCAAATAGGTAAAGTTGGGGATAAAAATGACACAAACTAAAAAACAAATGGTGAAATAGGTAGCGGAGCAAGAAGTGAAGAGGAAGAAGGTAACACAGAACACATGCTATGGAATTGCATCAAGTAGGTGGTAAGAACGGAGAGATGTGCTGGAAGAGGAGTGAAGAGGTGAGAAGTGGATGAGGGGATATCAAAGAACATGAGCCAAAAGTTTTGCCACTTTGGCGTCAAATAAAATTGATTGCTTTAAGTAGTGGGGTAGGAAAAAAATGAAGGGGGAAAATGCAAAAAGAAAAAAAACATAAAGATGAGACAAGAGTACATAGCAAAGTGTGAAGAAACAAGGAGACAATGAAGCGAGAGAAGAAATGTGTACCTAATAAGAAAAAGAAAGCTGGGAAAAAAACAGATAATATAAGAGAAAATAAAATAAGGAAACAAAAAGGCAAGGGAACAACGAGACAAAAGGTAAATAAGGTAAATAAAAAAGGAGACATGGGAAAAAGTATAACGGAAAAAGGAAGGGGAAAATGGGTTTGTAAAATAGATAAAAGAAGACAAAGGAAAAAAGAGACAAGGGAAGCAAAGAGACAACCAGAGACAGACTAACAGAAATCAGAAGGGGCAAAAAGAGTACACAAAAATGTGAAAAGTATAGGTGAGAGGTAAAGATACAAAAGGCCAAGGAAGACAGAGGGAAAATAAAACAAAAAGATATAAGAAAAAGGATAATTGTTGTAAATGTGTTTGCGTGCCCTCGCTGGGAAAACCGATTTCAAAATTTTCTTTTTTAATTATTTGAATTGGAATTCGTACTTTTGAACTTTGTGCTCAATTTCGTTAGAATTATCGCGCGAACTTTTTAGAAGTTAAAAAAATCCCCGTCGACTTTTAAACATTCTCCAAAACAATGGTTGCGTTGCGTAACGTGGTGCACCATTTTTAAGAAATCTGACAACACGTAATTCCACGTGGGAATACCGCAAGTAGAGGGGAAGACACCGCTTTGGAAAATTACATGGCCTTGTAGGCAAATTTAACTAAAATCAAAATATGAGGAAATTACGAATCGTAACTCATTTATCGCACATAGATTCAGAAGAGCTTTGATTACCATAATCCCGCTCCGGCAAGATGGGTAACCCGCCCCTGGTTTCGGGGTTTCGAGTCTACAGTTGAATGTCGAAGACAATCACGGAATTAGGTGTCGTAACTCAATTTTCACTACAGTTTTTTTCCACCCACGTGACGGCTTCATTCACGGAGAAAATTGTTAGTAACAAACAACAAGTCAATACATATATCAAACGAATCGGTAATTTCCACATATTAAAATAAAATGATCAAAATTTATATAAATGTTACTTCAGGGACAAGACCAAGT